GAATGTAAAACCACCATTCATCCCATGTGAACTATTACATAATTCACAATAAAACATTAAAAAAAAAAAAAAAAAAAGAATTAGCCTACTGTTGTTGTTGTTAAGTGCCGTGGAGTCGGTTCCGACTCATAGCGACCCTGCACAGGGTTTCCGAGGCTGTAAATCTTTACGGGAGCAGAACGCCTCATCTTTCTCCCGCGGAACCACTGTACATTGTTGCTATTGGTAGGAACCAACTTGATGGCACTTAACAACAACAACAAAAATATTTGGTCAAACATTTAATTAACTCACACCTAATGTGATGTCTGTCATGGCAGTTGCCTTGGTAGGACCAGACCAAATGATATGTAGGCCTGTGACGTTGGACTGGGTTAATGTGCTGGGCTGCAAAGTTGGTTTGAACCACAAGGTCAGCGATTCAAGCTCACTAGCCGTTTCTCGGAAACCCTATACAGTGTCGCTATGGGTCTGAACCAACTTGACGGTACTTAACAACAAATATGGCAAGAAGCCTGGATGTTCCAAACCCCTGCTGTATAGGGTTTCAGAGGCTATAAAGCTTCCGGGAACAGTTAGTCTCTTTCTACCATCAAAATAAAAGATGTGAAAAGAGATTTTGATATAGAGATCAGCACTCCTACCTGCATCCTCACTACCCTTTGTACACATACTTAGCATATCCTTGTCATTAGTTTCAAATGACCTACTTCTAATGCACTTAGATTGGGCTTCTCAAAGACAGGGACAATCTGTGCCTATTTCCTCTTTGTAGTCTTCCCTGTACCTCTTGTCAGGCCTGTTACTTTATCCATGCTGACAAAGAGACAGGATAGAAAACACATGAATGAAATGATTTCCTTCTCATTTGTTGATGTCTGTTTCAGCTTTGCCTAATCTTGTATCTAGAATCTTAATATATTAGAGCTTGGAAGGACCTTAGTCACTCATTGATTTTGATTTAGTGCCAAAGTTGGAACTAGATCCCTCTGGTGACTCACATCCTGCTTAGGACTATCTTAATAGTCCCCCTCTGGGTGCACCTGCTGTATTTGGATGATGGCTTTTGTATTTCATTTCATCTGATTTGAGTTGTAATATAAACATACAGGGACATAGATATTCATTCACTGTGAGCTTAATAATGTTCTGTTTCTATTAAAACCTTTAGGAGTTTTCAAGAGAACAAATCTAAGTAGCTGACCTTATAATTTTGCAGTCATTCATTTGTTTGGAATTATGATGAGTAAACTGTGAAGAACTTAAGTGAAAGAACATATGCAAGGGAAAATGTCTTAATTTGTTAAAAGGGTAGGAAATCACTCTTAAAGATGTTCCATATAGGACTAATTTACTTGGAATCCAGGGCCTGTTGAGAAGATTAATGCCAGGTGGCCTTTTGCAGCACTGCTCAGCCTGAGTCTAATGTTCAGGTTGTTCTTTTATTATCACAAACGTCCATAACTGAAGGATTTTTTTCACCCTGCCCTTTTTCACAATATAGGACTGTAATTGAGTTCATATTTCTCACCCGCCTTTCAGCTGTAATTAATATTTTATTAAATCAGATTTTATCACTAACTGAAACAGCAGCAGGGCATTGTCCACACACAGCAAGCTTTTTGTAATCTATTACAGCAATGAGAAAGTGATATATATTCACGGTGTCCAGCAAATATCCCAAAGCAATTTATGGCCAATTGTATCTAGATCAGAGCAGGACAAAGCGAAATTAAAGTTGCTGATGTAGAATATTCCGCCCCACAGATCTGTTTATGCTGTGCAGCTTGTTACCCTGTATTCATGTCTGTGTGAGATTGGTTATTACCAGTTTTCGTCTATAACATCATGTGTTGGGTCACCTGCCTTCAGTCACCTGTTACATGGCCAAGGAATCTTAACCTTAAAGGCAGACAGTGGCTTTTGTTTCTCTGATTTTGAACAGATGACATACTTGTAAAACTTAGCTCAATTTTACCCCAGTGTGTTTCAAGTCCTAAAGTGTCGGTTAAGTAAAGAATGCTGACAGATTTAGGGAAACGATGTGTCTGAACAAACAGGAAACATAAAAATGCTGTGTTGTTTATTAAAATATAATATCATGTCACTGAACCTTCCTAATTATAAGTTTGTTTATCTGCAATGAGTGTAGTTCATGTTTTTATTTTCTTCCACCCTTGAAATAGTGCATCTTCTTAAGATATTAATATTCTTTTTCGTATGTGTAGAGTGAATGATTTGCACCAAAAATTGCAGATCAGGCTAAAAGCCACTGTTGTTGTTAAGTGCCGTCGAGTTGGTTCCAACTCATAGCGACCCTGTATAAGGTTTCCGAGGAGCGGCTGGTGAGCTTAAACCACCAGTCTTGTGGTTCAAACCGACTTTGCAGTCCAGTGTGTTAACCCACAGTGCCACACCAGGACGCCAAACCTACTGTTGTTGTTAAGTGCCATCAAGTCAGTTCTGACCAGTAGCGACCCTGGATAGAGTTTCTGAGGAGCGGCTGGTGAGCTTGAACCGCCAACCTTCCAGTTTAAATGGCTTTGCAGTCTGGCACATCAACCCACTGTGCCACACCAGGACCACAAAATGGACAATATTATTTAAGCCCTTGAGATGCCCAGAAGTAACTATCTGAAGGAATCCTGGTGTGGTGCTGTGGAATAGAGCACTAGACTGCAAAGTTGGTTTGAACTATAAATTGGTGGTTCAAACTCACCAGCTGCTTCTTGAAAACCTTATACAGGGTCGCTATGAATCGGAACTGACTCGATGGCACTTAACAACAACAAAGCTACCTTAAAGGATTGGAAAAGCTGCACCAAAATGAATCATGACTTTTCTCCCCCTCTCCTTTCCTCATTACCCCCTTTCTGTAATCAAGTTAAATAACTGTCTAAGAGTTTATGCTGGTAAGAAATAAAATAAGTGGATAAGAAAATAGACTCACACCTAAGAGTTTAATCTTGAAATGAATTAGGACAAAACTTTTCAAATCAATTTCAAACCTGCAGCAGGTTTCCTTTTAAAAGTTGTAAAAGTTAAAAAAAGACTAAACACTATTTTATCATATTTGAACTTTCAGGTTTAAAAGAGTACATGGAAGATGTTCAGATGTTCGTTTCGAGGTTATACTTCATGTGTCATTCTGTAAAAATACAGACGTCTTATTCTCTTCTTAAAAGCTTTAGAGTTTTGTTGTAGAAAAACCTAGCATAAATTAAATGTTAGTTTCCATTTCATTCCATAAGAAAGTTCTGATATAGATAGGCCACTTTTTTTTGTCAGATTCATCTTCAGTGTGGAGTTTTACCTTAGTATTGCAAATGCTGTAGGAAGATTTTATGTTAATTCAAATTTCAATATAGCAATGGACCAATGCTAGGAATGATACAACTTTAATAAACAAAGTACACATGAGTAATACATTAAAAGAATGATAATATTTTAATCCAGCGCACTAAGCTAAAAACTTCTGATTGGTTTGCCAGCCTTGATGATTTGCTTTTTTAAAGTCATCTTTTTTAGGAAAACCATTCAAATGGTGAAATTTTTAAAGCTAGTTTTGAGACTTGTGATTGAAGAGATTTTATGAAATTCATTAGTGAAATGATGTTATGTGTTCAAATGAAAAACACATCAGCTATAAAGTTCTATCAAGGTACTATTAACCTAGGTGTTAATAATGTGTTAATTTCCATCTGGGAGAGAGCAGTATGTGGCATTGGGTAGCAGATAGGATTTAGCTATTTTTCATTAGCGCTTGGACTTTGATAAAGGGGAACAGAAAAGAGCTTCGTGACCTTTCAATGCTTAAATTATTAAACAGCAAATAGATTTGAGGTCTGGATGCTTGAAATCTAATTTGTCTTGTGGAGCAAGGATGAAAAGACATTTTGGATTTGAAATTGCTCTAGTCAACTTAGTTCTTCTTCTAATATATCTAACGATGAGTAGATGGTAGCTGTTTAAAAAGTAATGTATCTGGGGTGGAGTATATGATATAACTAATATCAGCTGGTTAAAAAAACAACAAACAAATGAAAGTCCATTGAGTGATTCTTTCATTCTCAAATTCTCATCTAATGCTCATCAAATTGTTACTTGGAAAAATAAGTCTTTTTCCATTTTTTAATGTCTTACATGATATTTACATTAAAAAAACAAAATTATGTTTTATTATGAATGTAAGGAGCTCTGGTAGCATAGTGGTTACGAATTGGGTTGTGAACCGCAAGGTCAGCAGTTCGAAACTACCAGCTGCTCCACGTGAGAAAGATGAGGGGTTCTGCTCCCGTAAAGATTAACAGCCTTGGAAACTCTGTTCAGGGTTGCTATGAGTCAGAACCGAATCCACGGCACTTAACAACAACAACAAGGTACATAGAAGACAAACACGATCTATTTGTTGGATTAATACAACACAACACAACACAAATGTCAGTGAAGTTGCAGGGAAGGAATTGTTACGATGAGAGGAGATGAAAGTGAAAAATGGGAAAGGTAGAGAAAATAGAGGCACAACTTTTGAACCCCCAAGATGGTTTATTTTAAAGTGATCATCTCACATAAACAGCAGAGATTGCCATTTATACAAGGAGACTTCAAAAGGCTCGTGGAAACATGGAAGGAAAGGAAAAGGATAATTTCCCAAAATCTTTTGGAAGCCCCTTCATTAAGTTGCCATGATGACGAATTTTGTTTCTCTCAATAAATTGTATTACTTTGGATGTGTGAGTTCAGCAAACGAACACTAGGCACCTTCCCTCTCCAAGTTAGCAAGTGCTGATTGAGTTTCCCTTAGGAGATAAAGTACTTGCTGCTGACTCACTAGGAGAACATAATGAATTCTTTATTTTGTATAGCCTATGAGTATGTGCATGAACCCACTGCAGGTCAGCACAGTAATCACAAAATAATTCATGGCAGTGTTATCACTAATGTATTCTTTCTCTTCCTCCCTTCACATCCAACCTTCCCTAACCCACCCCCACCCCCAGTGTCTATCAAATAGTCGTTGAGGAAGAACGTCCTCGAAGAACTAAAAAGACAACAGAAATCTTAAAGTGCTACCCGGTGCCAATTCACTTCCAGAATGCTTCCATACTGAACTCACAGTACTACTTTGCTGCAGAATTTCTAGCAATCAGTCTTCAAGCCGCTCAGCCTTTTACTATTGGTGATAACAAGACATACAACGGATACTGGAATACGCCCCTTCTCCCCCATAAAAGCTACAGAATTTATTTCCAAGCTGCTAGTAGAGCCAATGGGGTAAGTTTTTTGTTTTGTTTTGTTTTGTTTTTTTAGATGACTGTTAATTACACTATTAAGAAATTAATTTGAACATGGATTAAATAAAATAGTAATAAGTGAAGACATGTTTTTACTTGAAAACAAAGGGTTTTTTCTCTCCCTTTTATAGCATATTTTCATCTAAGGAAATTTGTGGAAAGAAATGAATATACTTGTACACAGGGTTTTGTTGTTTATTTTATTTTATTTTTTGGCAGAAGACTATATTGCCAACATGATGGTTTTTATTTTTAGTTCTTACTGGTTACCAAAAATTGGCAAGTAATCCTGCATAGCTTACTATTTTATAGGAAAGTGGTATATAGCTACAGCACATACATTCAGCTCTTTTAAAATTTTGTGAGATTCATAACATCTGTCTTTTCAGCATAGTCTTTTCCAATTCCTTGGTTCTACAAGAGCTTATGCTTTTTCTATTTTGTTGTTGTTAAGTGCCATCAAGTCGATTCCCACCCACAGCGACCCTGTATAGGGTTTCCAAGGAGCAGCTGGTGAACCTGAACCGCCAACCTTGCAGTTCAAACGGCTTTACAGTCTGGCGCATTAACCCACAGCGCCACACCAGGACTCTTTTAAATAGCTGTGACTAAATTAGTTACCTTCTTTTTTCTTTTGTCTCTAAGAGAAAACAATTCCAGAAAGATGAAATGAGAACAAAATAAAACTATCATTTAGTCCACTCCAGATTTTTTCCTTTTACTATTCAGGCTCATCCAGAACACCCTAAGGAGGATTTAAAGGTTCATTGGAGAGCAGGGACATGTTTTTTGATGCCTCAATGGATTCACACCTTGCCGGTGTGAGTGTAGATATCAGAGATGACTTTATTTTACCAGTGAAATAGGAGAACATCTGTAATGTAGGGTTGTTCAGCAGTGTCTTCACAGAGGGAGAGTACAAGGTTAGAGAACAAGGTCGGGTGGTCCAACAATACCCAAACGACCAGGACTGAAGTCAGAACTTGTGTCTCACTGTGGTTCCAGGTGTTACCTTTAATGAGGAAAGCACACCAGGAATTATGAGATCTTCCCTTCGGTGGTTTTGACTAGAAATACGAGTCTTTGTTTTAAAAACACTGTGAATAATAGATTTTCTTTCTTTATTTGACACAGGAAACCAAAATAGACTGCGTCCTAGTGGCCACAAAAGGTATGTTGAAATTGTGGGATGCTCCCTAAAACTTTAGACAATGTTTCAAGACTTCTTAAAATGTTAGCTTTATTGAAATAAGTATGTATGTTCGTATGAATGTATATTATATATATATATATATATTAGGATCTTATGGCATTTAACACTGAATAAATATTTCATATAGGTATTGTTTTGTTGAATGAGAAATCTCATTGCTGTGTTCTAGTTTTTAGTGGTTATTAAAAAAATTGTTAATGAAATTAATTTTGTATGATCTTAATATACACTTTGTAAAGCCGTAGTACTACACCTTGTTGTTATTGTTGTGTGCTGATGAGTTGGTTCCAAGTCACAGCAACCCTGTATAGGGTTTCCAATGAGCAGCTGCTAGGTTTCAACTGCAGTCCAGTGGTTCTGCTACAGCACCACACCAGGACTCCACTACCAAACTTGGGAGTACGCATCTAGTGAACTGTCATATGCAAAGTAATAAAACACTGCCTGCTATTCTTAAGCCAGTGGTCTTATTTTATCTCTGTAAAGTGGCATCTGTATCAACTTTTTTCACTCAGATGTGAAATATTACTAAAGTCAATAACCAAATTGCCTTTCTTGTGGAGCCTTTAGTTGCTGGAGGATAAAATTCTGAGTCAAAGACATCAAGGGTGAAATTTATAAATAGCTAAGGGTTCTGGTGTAGTGCTGTAGGATAAGCCACTGGACTGCTAACCACAAGGTCAAACCCACCAACCACTTCTTGGAAACATTACGGACAGGGTCACTATGAATCAGAACTGACTCAATGGCATTTAACAACAACAGAGGAACCACAAGGACCCCTAGTGGCACAGTGGTTAAGCACTCAGCTGCTAACCAAAAGGTCAGTGGGTCAAACCCACCGGTGGCTCTATGGGAAAAATTATCTGGCAATCTGATCCTGTGAAGATCGTTGTTGCTGTTAAGTGCTGTTAAGCATAGGGCTTCTGATGAGCAGCTGGTGGGTTTGAACTGCTGACCTCTCAGTTAGTGGTCCAGTTCTTATCCTACAGCGAAACCCTATGAGGCAGTTCTACTCTGTCATATAGGGTCGTTATGAGTTGTAATAGGTGGGATGACACGCAATAGCAACAAAGGAACCACCAGGAGCTCAGTGTGCACCACCTCCTGAGTGGCAAAGTGCAGATTTGTGTGTGTGCTTAATCTGTGCTGATACTTTATCAACTTCACAGTGCTTTTTAACCTTCACCTAGGATGTGCATGGAAAAATGCATTGAGACCTTTCTTTAAGATGTTATAGGAGTATATGAGGCATTATAAAGTGATATTAAATGCACTCTTTCAGACCACTAGAGTCACCAAGAGTACAATAAAGAAACTGTGTGGTTGAATTTAGACAGGATGTTCAGAATGCTGCTTTATCTCTGTGGCACTAGACTAGATCATAAGTAATCACTTGATGTGTTCTTATTGTTAAAATTACACATCATTTTACATGTAATTTTGAATAGACCATGGGTATACATCTTCATTTTCAAAATTCTCATTGATTTCATAGAGATACATGGCCTTTTTATACAATTGACATCTATTTCTTAGGCATTGTATGAGCTGCTCACCTCATTTGTATTTTGTTTGTCCCCATGGACTCATAGTCTAGAATATACTTATATTGATTTTTAACTACTTAGTTCTTTTATTGTAACTTATTAAGTACCTTTCATTGCAGCAATAAATAATTAATGAAATTATCAATAGTCATGTGTTTTACAAAATACAGTACACTCTCAATCTTTAATTATTCTAATATTATGAACCCCGTGAATGATGTGTTTAATCTCCTAGATCCCCAGATACCTGTCTGTTCTCAAGAACAGGAATTTTAAATTATTACTTGATTCGATTCTAGGAGCCCTGGTAGCATAGTGGATTATGAGATGGTCTGCTAACCACAAAGTCTGTAATTCGAATCTACCAATTGCTGCATGGGAGAAAGATGAGACTTTCTGCTCCTGAAAAGATTTACTGCCTCAGAAACTCTATGCAGGCTTCTATGAGTCAGAACTGTCTTGGTAGCACACACTCACCACCACCAGTTACCATTTAATTCTGAAAGAGTCAATTCAGTTCCGGAGTGCCTAACTTAATAATGCCTTATATTAAACATCACAGCTTAGCATTTTGAAATCACTTCATGAACATATTCTCTAATTCCTCAGCAAAACTGTGAGAAAGGAGACGTTTTATGCTATTCAAGTCTTTGATGAAATAAGTTAGTATTTTTGAAGATGAACTGACTTAGCAAGGCCATATAGTTAATAACGATGCAGTCAAGGCTGGACCCCAGGACTTCTACCTTGACAGCCCTCTTTTTACAGTATCTGATGGATGTTCACTCAGAAGAGTCTCTGGCCAACTATAGTATTTCCCTTTATTAGAGTTGACTGTAAAATTATGAAAAGTATGTCACCATTTTCATTTAAATAGTTAAATAATTACATAAGCAACACAGTAGTAAATAGGGAAATATGACAAGCTCACTATTTCCACAATAAGTTGAATTGGATGGTGATTTGCGTTATTTTCTTCCATCAGCTAGTTTTAATCAATATTATGATTTGTTTGTCAATTCACCAAAGGATGATTAAGCAATCAGATGACCTGATTGGCTAAATATTCTCCACTCATATTTTGAGTCATTTGCAAACAAGCACACAGCAACAAATGCTATCTAAGTCAGCTCTTTAGAGGAAAAAGGGAAACATTTTAATATTCATTACATATCATTGTCATTTATATTTCAAAAGTCATAGCACAACAGAAAACCTAGGAAAACATTCTTCTTCCAGGAAAAACTACTCTGTTTTTTACTATTTTATTTTGATAAGTTCTACATATACAGACTCAGCAACCCTCCTTCACAGTGTAATGTAATGCTTCATACCTTTATAAACAAAATGTTTCTTTATTCGTACTAAAAATTTCTGTTACAACAGGAGAAGCCATTTATCTTGACTACTTAGTCAAAACAAAAAATTTGGAGATCAAATAACTTTCTTGGTCCTATATAGTAAAGGTGTTTTAAATTTAAAAGAGTTCAAACGCCCTGAGTGTTGTTAGCCACTTATTCCTGACAGCATGGAGGCTTAATGGAATTTTCAGGTATGAAACCACATTCCTAAGTAGCATTTAGAACTTACAGAGATTTCAGTGTTCTCATGAAACAAACTGTTGACATGTATCTTTATAGAGAAAGTATGGAGGTGGATTTGTTTTCACAAAGAACTCTTTGTAATTTCAAGTAAGGGTATGGTTCTTAAATATATATTTCATACTATTTGTAAATTTAATTTTATGAATAGCTTAATCATATTCCAAGGCTATATTTTGACACTAATCATCTCAAATATAAAGTCTCATAAAAATTAGATATAGGAAAAAAGCTAAAGTATGTTATTACATACCGCCATATGATCAGCTCTGAACTCATAACCACAGGTTGGCAGTTCACACCCACCAACCACTCCTTGGAAACCCTATACAAGGTCACTCTGAGTCAGATGACACAGTGGCACTTAACAATGACAACAATGTATAGATGATTGTATTTTTATGTATCCTCCTTTAATTTATACATATAGATGCATTCCCAGTATCATACATGACCGTATATCGTATATAATATGGCCATATATTTATTGACTATAGACAGGGAAACTCATCATAGAATATCCTCTCCCTTGAATTAAAATCTGAAGACACCATCCAGTAAGGTATACTTGAAATTTGGATGTTATTCTCTATATCAAAAGTAGAGTAAATAAAATAGATTTCAACTACTGCTAGATTCTTTAAATTTTTGTTTTTTCATTACATTCACATTTTTATAGTTGGATGCTTTTTAAGACTACTTGGTCCAACTGTCCTTTTGCAATTAGTGTTTGTGTGTTTTCTTTAACTTTCCTATTCCTTATGGCTGCCTTATGGTGACTAGTAAGGAGGAAGCGTCTCTGTGCTTGTTTTGGAAAGCTTTGTAATGGTGAATGCTAAACTGACAGAACATACTGGAAAACCAGTCTGCCGTGGTTTTTTTATTGAATGAGGTATCTTTATTCTTACTGATAAAAACAGTTTTAAACTGTATACATTTCACTAATCTTCCATTGAATAATTTTCTCCATACAATGATGCCACCTTTGTTTTTCCTTAACAATATAGCCATTTGGGAGCTCCTTGTTCTTCATTTATTTTAAAGTTATTTGAGTGGCTGTTATATGTTAGGCAGAGAATACTTTGTGAGACTTCCAAATGCAGAGATATAAATATATCATGTTTTACATTTTGAGCATTTTAATGGAATTCATAAAATTTTTTCTTTCGTTTCTTTTTTAATGAGAGGTGGGTTATATAAGTTAACCTTTTCCTTTCCTTTCTATGAATTTTCCAATAGTTAAGTAACTAAAATTCAATATTAAAAATACAGGTAAATACATGCCAAATTCTTTCCAAAAGAACGAAAGAAGTCAGAATATAAACCTTAAACAAAGTATGAGCAAACCATTATCATAATGTTGCATTTAAAATTAAATCTTTGGTGCAAAGGTGCTTCAGTGTTTGTAAGCTTTAATCTATTAATTTATGTTGGAATGTAATGGAATATAAATATGCTTTGCTGTAAGACCTTCAGGAAATTGTGAAGAATTTCCATTGTTCTGATATAATTTCTGTGTTCAGAAATTCACATTTTTTTTAATCATTAAGTTCTTTGAGAAGTTTCTCTAGACTCTTTGTCTGTTCACTCTTTTGTTCATAGAAATGCCATCCTTTCTATGGCCACAGTGCAAGAGAATGAAAGTGCCCTAGTAAAAGAACTGAAAAGAATATCTGTCGAGATGTAAAGCTTAATAAGGTTCCTTTTAATTTCTCTTATGCAGTACATGAAAAAACAAACTACATATTAAGACCATTCTAATATGTTTTTCTTCTATTATTTAGTTGTAGGTTAGAAACAAATATAT